TCCCATTGACTCCAACGTTTTTCTAATCGTTTTATCATTTTTTCTCCTAATTCAATATCTGGAAATTGATTCCAAAAATGAACAAAGTATCCTAAAGCATGAAGTAATTCAAAAAAACATGCTTTATCACTTTGAAGCTTATTTAAAACACCATAGTAAGGTGATAAAATTTCTTGTAGAATTTCTATTGTATTCCACCAATTATTATCAAGAAAAATCTTACAAATGTCTTTATTTAAATAAATTTCATTTGCATTATTTGATGTTGAAGAACTTGCTTCTTCTGAAGTAAATTGTGAACGCTCATGTCGAATTGCTAAATTCTAAAAAAGGATATAAATAATAAATTAATTGAATAAAATGAAACAAATAATATTATAATTTAAGAATTTATATTTACTCATAAAGCCTGTTTAGATTGAACTAGACTTTTAAAACAAAAGTAATGACTATTCCATCTAGTTTCACATGGAATCATAATTGAATAATATTTGTTATACAACTCTTTTTGTAAGTCTCGTAATTTACTAATAAAATAGTTATTATTTCCATTTCTAAAATATGCTGCTACTATGATTGCTTTAGTTGATGCATTTTTTAAAGTAAGCGATTCTTTAAAAATATCACAAATTGCTAATTGACATTGATATGCAAAACAAGGTAAAAAACAATGTGAAGATATTCTAACTGAAGTCATCGTCTATTATAAATTAAAAATAAAATATTTATATTTGGTAATAATATATAAATGCAATATTTATTTAATTCTTATTGAGCTCTAGCATAAGCTACTGCACTATCAGAAATTATAGCAATTATTTTTGCACCTAAATCATCTTTTGCATCTTTTATTAATTCCTCAATTTTAGGCATTATTTCAATCATACATTCTCTTTCACTACTCACATCTGATGCTTTCCATATTAAAATTTTACCTGAAGATGTAATAAACAATACACTAAATATATGCTAATTTAAAACATTTTTTTATCCATTGAATGATAGTATTACACCAATTCTATCATTACTTAGCTTTTCATTTTGTAATAAATCTAAATTTTTTGTTTCATTATTTAATATACGATTTGATAATACTTTTCGTCCTAGTAAAATTAAATTTGGATTTAAAAACTCAAATAAATCTAATGTTGCTTGATTTTTTATCCATTGGAATGGAAATCTATTTGATACTGTTACTTTTAATAAAAGATGTTCAAATATAAGTTGTTCTTTTTTTGTAGGTGTCTGAATAAGAATATTTCTCATAATATTATTACCAGTTTTAACTGGATAAAGGCGGCGTTTAGATGATAATGTTGATGTTAAAATAAAGGATCAAGTTGAAGATATTTCCTCTTCTATTGGTTTAAAAAAAAACAGTATCAAAATTACTTTGTATAGATTCCAAGTATTTTAATACTTTTTTTCTTCCAATCTTACCAGAATCTGAAACTGATTTTAAACGTTTTTTTCTTATTAATTCTTCATTTTCATTATCTGTTAAATTAATAATAGCATCTACTTCTTCTTTACTACCAATTTTTTCTTGAAAATATGCACAATTTTTTAAATGATTTTTTACTTGTGGTTTTTTATTTGTAAATGTAAGCATTGAAAGTTCACTTTCTTCTAAATTCTCAGAATATGTAAGACAATTAGTATAATTATTCTATGCATTTTGTTTTCCAAGAATTTTAATATATTATGTTAGACGATGTTTTTTGGGTTTGTTTTTTTTACTAGTATTCATTTTAGATACTGTAAATATTAAAATAAAGAGAAAATTTTTTATTTTATTTAAAAAAATTTTTATTGTTATACAAGATTATCTATTAGACGCATTGGAAGTAGTATTGGAATCTTCCAATAGCCAATTTCAATAGCATAAAAATTTGATTGGAAGCTTCCAATACATATGATTTATTGGAAGATCAAAATCTTCCAATACTTCCAAATCTTCCAATAGGTCTTCCAATTCCAATGAAAAGTTATTGGAAGCTTTTCAAGCATATTACTGGTTTATAGCATAGCAACTAGTTAGCCATAGCAAATTAATTTTGTATAAATAAAATAGCTTTTTACTTTAGTTGTAAAAAAACTCATTTGCGAGTTTTAACTCTCTTATAAGTTCTTAAATACTTGTGAGTTTCAAGTAATAAATAAAGAAATCAACTTTGAAAAACAATTACTTTTTTCTTTTACATGTCTATCATCTAGGATTTGATCGTGAACCACTACACTAACTTGCTTTTGAGTTTGTTACTTAGAATAAACAAATTCTTTACATTTTTCCCTAAGTTCCTAAACCTTTAAGTTCATAAAGTCAAGTAAAGTAATTCTAAAGCATTCCAGATACCTGTAGGATGTGAGATTCCCTAAGGTTGTAAAAGTCTGACAATAAGGAATTTACTTGTCACAGTAAAGTAACTTAGCAAAATACAAAAAGAATTATTGCTGATGACAACAGTAATAATTAATTTTTTAATATATCTAAAATTAACTTTAATTAGCTCTTTCAAAATTTGAAAGTGATAAACTGATTAAAATGTTTTTATTTTAAAAGATTTGATATAATTGAGACCTCTCTAAATGTATCCCCCCTTGGGAACATAGTGAAAATTTGAAAAAATATGCATTTAAAGAGAGAAATTTTATATGATCTTTATCTATTTGGGACTGTGTGGAGTGTGTGGAGTATGTATTTGTAGAAAAATATATAATGCGTGCATTTAGGAAGGGTGCATTTAGAGAGGTCTGTTATTATCAAATATACAAAACCCGTCTCGTCTTATTTTGTTTAACTTAATTAAGGTTAATAGATTGGAAGATCGGTAAATAGATCGTCAATAGTATTGCCATGTTTATCTTCTATTACGAAAGAGGTAAAAATGACGTTTTTCTCGCGATTATCGTTAGTTCATTGGATCACATGATTAATAAAGCGTTGTTTAAATAAGATCGCTTGCTTTTTTTATTTATTTCTCTGTTTTTCGATCTAGTTCATAATGTCTCGACATCGAGCGATTAGAAGCTTAACTGCCGAAGGTAAATTGTTTTATTATAAAATTCCATAAAAATTTAAAAATTAATAAATTTCTATTTTCAGCTGTCCTTGCGGAATCCGAGTATTATGACGAAGACGATTATGATTATGAAGGTATTTATTAAATTTATGCTTGGTTGTATTTACATTATTAAATTAATTAAATTCCTTTTTATTTTAAATAATTTAAGATAATGATGAATTGTCCCAAGAAGATAAAGGTATGACTCCTAATTCGAACTGTTAATTTTTAATTCATGAGAGATATGAGAAATGCTTATCAATGGTATAAAAAAACCTAGCCAAAATGGATGATGGAAAGAAAATAGTTAGAGAAGTTATAGGACAAGTAGATGAAATATCTGATAAAGATATTGAAGATGCTTTGTGGCATTACTATTATGATACAAAGGAGGCAATAACATACTTATTGGGTATTTAACTAATTATCTAATAACTTTTATTTAAAATTGTAATATATAATATATTTAAATTTATTTGTTTTATAGATGAACTTCATAAATCTAAGAAAAAGAAAAAAACTAATTCAGATTCAAATAAATCTAAACTCACAAATAAAGGTGAATTATTTTATTTTGGTTTATTTATGAAGTGATGGCGGTTCAACCTTTTAGATTTGATAATGAAATATATTTCCTGTCATTGAAAATGACTAACATTATAAAGGAAAAAAAAGAATTTATGAAAAGCGAATTTAGTAAATAATTTCTTTAGTCAATCAATTTAACCGAGAATCTTCTCGGCTTAATATTCTCAAAATATAACAGATCTAATATCTAATATGGATCATCTTATTAATGGAAATCGATATCTGAGCCCTCTGAACTTTGATGCAAATCAGCAAAACCTTGAATACCATTATTCACTTGGAATGAGGACAAGAACTGTTTTAACAAATTGTGTTTCCTTTGATGACATTTGGACCGGGCACAATGTTAAATGGTGTAGTCTCGCTCAAAGTAATTTAAAAATTACAGAAAATTCGATTTGTGAAGTACGGAAAATTTCACATCATGGCGGGTTATTAGGTGGAATGGATTCTGAAACAACGCAATCGAGACTCTCTGGTTTACGTAGTCAGTTGGGTTCCACTAGGACGAATTCTCAGTCTTTATCAAAAATGGCTTCAGATAGAGCAACTATTGAACAAAACCGTTCCTCTGTTGGAAATAATGATACATCCAACATAAGACAATTATCTCTTTCAAACATCGGGATAGGTTCTTCAGGACCATCATTGTCATCCCTGGCTCATTTGAGTGTAAAACAATCTACGAGACCATCATTATCCAGTTTGACAACGAATACCATATCAAAATTAGGTTCAGAGAGTGTTACAAGACCTCAAACATCATCTAGCTTGATAAATAGTCAAACTCCGTCCTTGTCATCTTTAGTTAAAAACTCGACTTCACATTCTACTGGACGTGTTTCTTTATCTGATCTTGCATTAAATCGAACTACAAATTCAAAGCAACAGACTTCATCGGTTTCAACTTTTTTATCAAATAAATTAAATAATAAAATTCCTTTGCCAACCCCTATGGTTTTCAAAAACTCAAATCCCTTAATAACTGATACAAATCGTAGCGAAATGAGACAAAAGTCTCAACATATAACAAATGAATTTACACAATCTATCATTGAGAATAAGGAATTCGTACAGAATTCATATTCAGATATAAAGATTCAACCATTATCAAACCCTCTTATCGCGCCGCCATCCATTTTCGCTACTTCCATATTCGCACCTCTTCAAGATACTATATCGTTTTCTAATGATTTAATTACTTTTGAACTTTACACAGCGGGTTCAAATAATAATGGGTTTTCTTTTGTTGATCCAAGCCCTGATGATATAGTCAAAAAAGCTCAGAGCAATAGAGGAACTGGTGTACCAAAAGGTATTTTGATTTCCGCCCGGATTTTGATATTTTTATAAATCCTTTTTTTTTTTACTTTTTCTTTTCTTTTCATAGTTAAGGACAGAAATATTTCAACAACTTCAGCAACTTCTGTGAAATCCACTACTGCAAAGCAAGAATCGTCAACAACACAGAAGATAGAGAAAACGCCATCGAATACACCCGATGAAATTGTATTGAAGACACTGAGACAAAGGGATTCTGGTATATCAGCATAACGTTTTAATAATTCCGCTGGAAAATTTTGAATCCTTGTTTTCTAAAAATATTTTTTTTTTTTGGTTTTGATAGGTGATAAACAAAATTTTTCTTTGGCATCAAGTCCGGCGTTAAATAAATTGGAACTCGAGGGAAAACAAGATAACGATGATATTATCGAAGATTTAGATGAATATGAAGATGATGAACAACTAAGATTTGATATTGGTGCTCTTAATCTTGATTTCGAAGATAAATCAACTAGCCATCCTAATAAGATTGCAACAACATTTAAACCTCTTGTAAGTCAAGAATCATTATCAACACGAACGATGTCATCGAGTACATCAAAATCATCACTAAAAACAATACCTAAGAATAAACGTATTGATGTTCTTGCAGAGTATAAGAAACGGAGTTCTGATAAAGAATCGTTAAATTTAGTAATAATTGGTAAGTATATTTTTCAGTATAAAATGTTTTTGACTTCCATTTGTTTCATATATTTATGAATATAACAAAATAATAATATATACAGGTCACGTTGATGCTGGAAAAAGTACACTAATGGGTCATTTATTGTATTTACTTGGCGAAGTCAATGAAAAAACCATGAGAAAGTATGAAAGAGACTCTTCAAAAATTGGAAAGTCTTCTTTTGCATACGCATGGGTTCTTGATGAAACAGGTGAAGAACGATCAAGGTATGATAGCTAATATAAATTCTAAAATATTTTATATCAGTGTATTTAAATTTCTCCCAAAAATTATATAGAGGTATTACTATGGATATTGCAATCACCAAATTTGAAACCGAGAATAGACGATTTACATTGTTAGATGCTCCGGGACATCGGGATTTTATTCCAAACATGATTTCGGGTGCAGCTCAAGTATGAAAATCAAAAATATATGTATATTTTTTTAAAGAAAAGCAATTAACATTTTTATTAGGCAGATGTTGCTATTCTTGTGGTTGATGCCACTACCGGTGAATTTGAGACTGGGTTCGATTCAAATGGTCAAACAAAAGAACACGCTTTGCTCGTTAGAAGTTTGGGTGTTCAACAACTAATCGTGGCTATAAATAAATTAGATGTTGTAAGTACATTATCAATTTTTTTAAAAAAGAAACATACATAAATATATAAAAAAGATTTGTCTTTATTTATATAGGTAAATTGGTCACAAAATCGATATAACGATATCATGGCCAAATTGAATCTATTTTTGACTCTTGCGGGATTCAAAAAGGATAAAGTAATATATGTCCCTTGTAGTGGATTGACTGGAGAAAACTTGTTAAAGAGATCTGAAAACGTATTGGAGTGGTATTCTGGGCCGACATTAGTTCAACAGATAGGTTTGTAAACTGACAAAATTTATTATTATTCTTTTAACTATTAACCAAATATATCACAATATGTCCATAGATAAATTCGAACCTCCTATACGGCTTTTAGAAAAGCCATTCCGACTTTCTGTTTCGGATTTTTTCAAAGGAGGAATAGGGAGCATGGGCGGTGTAACCGTGGCTGGAAGAATAGAGGCGGGAAATATTCAGGTTGGAGAAGGTGTCACGGTAATCCCTGGTGGTGAACATGGAGTTGTAAAAGGTAGGGATTTTGTATATGGGAGCTTTGCAGAAGGGGAGGAAACTACAAAAAAATTAAATTTAATTAATGATGATCTTTTTTAGGGTTGGAAATAAATAATTCATCTTCAAAATGGGCTGTAGCAGGGGATTCTGTTTTAATGACATTATCTGAATTGGACATTATTCAACTGAAGTAAGATATTCATTAATTCATATATTTTTATAATAAATAATATTCAGTTATTTATTTCTTATTTAGGGTTGGGTCGATTTTATGTTCAATATCACATCCAGTTCCTGTCACATCGCATTTTTTGGCTCAAGTTGTTGTATTTGAAATCAAAGTTCCAATCACTAGAGGATTTCCTGTGAGTCTCAAATTCCAGAATTTTATAAAATTATTTTATTTATTCATTTATTTAGTATTTTACATATATATTATGTATTTAGGTTATACTTTATAGACAAAGTCTCAATGAGCCAGCTATTATCACAAAATTGATATCTATTTTGGATAAAAGTACAGGAGCAGTTATAAAGAAAAATCCTAGGTAACAATATGTTTTCGTTATTTTATGCTTAAATACATTAATAAACAAATTATTTTTAAATAATTAATAGATGCCTTGTTAAATCATCAATTGCTATTGTTGAAATTGAACTTTCTAATAGACCAATTCCTCTAGAAACTTATAAGGAAAATAAAGAATTAGGAAGGATAATGTTAAGAAAAGGCGGAGAAACAGTTGCTGCTGGTATTGTAACTAATGTAAGTACATTATAAATCCATTAGTATTAAAATGTTTTAATATCTTTATATTTTAACCTAACATGAACATTATTATAAATAATAATTAATTAAAAATAAAAGATTACATAATAAAATTAATTTTTTATTTTCAAATAATTTTTTTTTTCTTATTTTTATAAAAATTATAATAATTAAATACAGTATATAATAATAAATATAATAATAAATTTATTTAATAATTTAAAAAATTATTATAGTAATTTATCTAATAAAGCCAATAAGTGAGTGATTGATCTGATTTTAATTACCTATGATCTCTTTGTAAAAAGTATTTTATGTAATTATTGCACATGTTCAGTATATATAATCGAATTTCAAAAAAAAGAGGATTATACACGCACATATTTTAATGATCTTATCATTTGAGGATAAACCAAAATCATTAAAGAATTTTGATCAAATAGAATTTTCAAATAAAGATATTTAACTATTATTATTAGGCAATTGTTAGCAAAAATATGATTCATAAGGCGAAAATTTAAATCCTAAATCATGCATGATCAATGATAAATCTAGCAAACATTATCACTGCTTTTTTACTTTAGATTTTTGATTTTTCTATATATATATTTCTTTTATTTTTTTTTTTTTTTTAATGAGACTTAAAATGCTAATATTTTTTGCCATGTGTTTGTTTGATTGAGAAATAATTATTGGAGGAATCAGGGTGAAAAGGGATGTTTTTATTTTTTTTTTTTAACTAATTTTTTATTTTATTACCGAACCGTAAAAAAAAATTCTATTTCGTCTGGAAAATTACACATTTTTCCGAAAATTCGAAATATCGGATATATTGCCAGTTTCCTGAAATGCTGCTTTATTGATTTTATTTTTCGTGTTCATTAAAATCATTGATTTTATCATAATTAAGATAAATTGAACTTACAGAATGTAGAACTAAAATATTCAAATAAAATTTATGACAAAAGATAATTTATGGTTAACAATGTCATTATTGATATTTTATTATTAAAAACGCAAAGCCCTTTTTTGCTGTAAAACAACCCATTTAACCATCATATAAAGCACACTTAACAATCCTCGAATGCTATCTGGCTTTTTAAAAATGTTTCAGATAACCGGATATGAAAATTTTTAACGGATGGATTTTTATCTGGATACAAATAAAATAATAATATTTATTAAAATATAAATAATCATATCAAATTTTTGAAGTTATTCCCTAGATTGCATAATCTCTAGTATTTTTTAACAATGAAAAAATATAACCTGAGTAAGCAAAGGTAAAAGTAAATAAATAAAAACGCAAAATATAAGTCAAGAAGTTAAACCCAGATCCAGTTGAATCAGAGGATGTCAACCATCACTAGTCTCTACCAGTTCGCCGTCTGATGACCGACACGAAACTTGGTAGCCTACCTTTACGAATAAAAGTTCACCACCTGAGGGTTAAGTGAGATCTTTTTTACTCGCACCTCTGTCGACCGATCACCGTTGATGGCAAACCGGCAAAAAGGACTGCTTTGAAGAGGTTACCGTCGTTGATGACCGACATAACATCTCCTCTCCACACTTCCAAACATCATCCACCGTTCTTGATGACCGGCAATGGATATGTGGGTAAAGTGACTGCTTTGAAGAGGTTACCGTCATTGATGACCGACATAACATCTCCTCTCCACACTTCCAAACATCATCCACCGTTCTTGATGACCGGCAATGGATATGTGGGTAAAGTGACTGCTTTGAAGAGGTTACCGTCATTGATGACCGACATAACATCTCCTCTCCGCACTTCCAAACATCATCCACCGTCCTTGATGACCGGCGTGGATATATGGGTAAAGTAAAAAAAATAACAAGCAAATTATATCTGTTGTGAAATTTTAAAATCATTTCGTTTTTTTTTAAAAAAAAAGTAAATCTATTATTTCAATGCTTAATATTTTCTCCTAGATTGATACAATTAAAGATCATTCCAATTCGGGAATCTTCAATACATGGCGGACCGTCGTTTCCTTTGGCCGAAGTACAAATCGATTAATTTCTTTCATTAAATTCTCCTGCTTTGTGATTTCATCCTAAAGAAGATATCATTGTAAGAAATATATTGGAAAATAAAAGCATGATTATCACGCGACCGATTTAAATACGTACATGGAAAACAGCCATCATTCTAATGACAGCTTTGTATTGACTTAGACCATTAAAACTAAAAGGCATAATGGCGGTGGCAAGCTCAGTTACAATGAAACGACCATCGGAAAGCATGCCTAATGCAGGGTTGGGAATTTTGTATGTACTAGATAAAATTACCACTGTACTAATCATTGTACTAACACTGTACTTCCCAACCCTGCCTAATGCATATAGAGTTAGTCGAGCATCTGAAAAGTAAGGAACAATGTATGAGAAATGCAATCACTCACAAAAGTATAAATCATGCATTCTACTCACTGATAGACTGGATACTATACACCCTAATTTTTATAGCAAGACTTAAGCTACAATCAAGGTGATTTCGTAGTACTGCAATTAAGTTTAAAATATCTGTATGCATGGTTTTCTTCGCGTCACCCATAGTATGTTTCTCGGTTGCATTTAATGGAGGACCCGCGACCTCCATATGAAATATATCCAAGCCATCGGAAATTCTCGTTCCCTTAGTGTCTACTCGAACAATTCCGGAATTTGTTGAAGATTTCATAATTTTAGCGGCGCGGGCATGAGATTCGATCCAATCGAATTCAATTAAAGCAAAAGTTCTCTCGTAAAACTTGAATAATGAAGAAACCTGATATACTATGTGTTTTCGCTCGCCAATTTTTCTGCTCATTGTAGGATTAACATCCACAAGATGGCAACTAAAAGGAAAAGCAGTTGTCAGTATCTCTATTGGTAAGAAAATCGATATACAGAGGGTTATATAAAGTTTCCGAACGAATTTTTATGCAATATAAAATGCTTAATTTTTAAAACTCAACCAAAAAAACTTATTTTAAGCTTATCAAAACCTACATTTTGTATTATTAAACTAGTATTTAATTGGGCCACCTTCCGCCGCAATCAC